AGCACTCTACCACTTGAGCCACAGCGCCACTTCTGTTTTTCTAGTGGTTTATTGGAGATGAGTCTCACGGACTTTCCTGCCTGGACTGGCTTTGAACCGTGATCCTCAGATCTCAGCCTCCTGAATAGTTAGGATTATAGGCATGAGCTACCGGTGCCTGGCTCACCATTGGTTTTAACCAATGTTAGCTCATCTGCCAGCATTGAGAGAGAAGCCTGCCTTCCTGGGCTCATTGAACACTTTACTGAACAATATGAGTTTTCTGAAATCAAGAAGAAAGCATCCATACTCTCCATACCAGAAAATATGGCAAAGTGGCATCTTCAGTGAGTCATAGCCAATAACCTGAAAGCTTAACTCATTGCGTATTGTGCATTTCAGCTCAAATACTTTCTCCATAGCTTAGCCCTAAGTTAACTTCCTTTAAACTTGAGTCTGGGAAGACATGCTAATTTTTCCCAACTCTATTTTTTCCACATGCTGGCACACCCATCCTGGAATTTAATGGATAATAAAGTTATGCAAAGAATCCTTGTGTGCACTAAGAACCAGGATGTTTTCTGCTAAGCCCACCTCCAACACAAACATGTACATACACCAGTCAGAGCTATACATAGAACTTGTTCTTGAATGCCTACCTCTATTTGCCATGCTGTGGGGCAAATGTGCCTTTATTCTCTTGATTAAAATAACAGGAAGTATTATCATTCTTGAGGTCTTGGTATTTACAGAAAAAATACAATCACAAAAAATAGAACTTGTAGAGACTCTTTTGAGACCAATTGGCAAGGCATCTGGTACCATCCTTGGCTTGGGATGGAAAATCTTGAACAAAATAATTGTGCTTCTCAAGCAATGTTCAGTCTACTGTGAAGATACAACCCAAGAGGGCTAAAATCTTCTACAGAAGTCCTGTGGCTGTTGCCACTTCAGTCAGTCTAGAAGGTTATGGAAATTCTGCTCTTGCAAAGGGAGCTGTGGATACAAGAGAAGTATTTCTTCAGTATTTACTTTGACCAGTGAAATAGCTTTGACAGATTTTTTTTTCTTTTCCTGAAGACACAAAGTGACATTCTAAAGGCCAAACCACTCTTCTAGGTCCATGGAGTCATTTAAAAATAATATTAGAATAAAAGCCCAAAGGAATGTCTGCTTAAGCACAGCTGTCCAAAGCCTCATATTTCAAGAAGAATTCAGCCACTTTATGCAGGGAAACAAGATCTCTCATTTGAAGTTCTTCTCTACTGGGCCCACTTCATTGTACTCAGATTGTTAGTATCTGATTCAAAACTAGCGACATCCTTTTGGTTCAAAGGACACTTTTGCCTGTTTTGCTGTTAAAGGCATGCTATATTGTGGCCTGCCTTCTTTTTTTTTTCATGTTTATGTTTTGTTTCCCCAACCAGATCATGAGATTATGGTCAAAGGCCGGGTCTTGCCCTCCTTCGTTTCTTGCAGAGTTGTGCTTTTCATGGTAAATTTGCAGAAAATAGCTGTTTGAATGTATGGATGAAGGAATGAAAAGGACAACCATGAAAACTGGACAGCAGTCATAGATGAGTTGCTAAGGAATCTGGCAAAAAGTCAGACCTGACAAGAGTCAGGTCAGGTTAGATGAAAAGAAGGTTTAAGGGAAAGAAAGGCAGATTTTGAGCCAGCAAATGTGGGTCCTTATCTCAGACTGGCTTGCCTTCATTCATTCAACAAACATTTCTTAAATGTATGTATATATGTATGTATGTATTTATGTGCTAGTACTAGGGCTTCAACTCAGGGCCTTGAGTTCTAACTCTTTTTTTTTTTTTTGGTTCCAGTCCTGGGCTTGAACTAAAGGGGCTGGGTGCTGTTTCTGAGGGTTTTTTGTTTAAAGCTAGTACTTTGCCACTTGAGCTTCAGCTTTTTTTGGGATGGTTAATTGGAGATGAGTTTCTTGGACTTTCTTGTTGGTGCTGGCTTCAGACTTCAATCCTCAGATCTAACCCATCTAAGTAGCTAGGATTACAGGCATGAGCTACCAGTGCCTGGGTCTTACTTGAGTTTTTCATTGTAGGTAAAAGGACTAGTGTGTAAGTTAGGATGTCCAATTGAGGACTTATATATTTTTTGCGGGTGTATCAGCACAAGGACTCAAACTCTGGGCTTTATGCACTCACCTTGGCTTTTTCACTCAAGGCTAGTGTTCTACCACTTGAGCCACAGTTCCATTTCCAGTTCCATTGAAGTCTCAGCTGAGGGTAGTCATGGCAAGAAAGAAGCTAGAGAGTTTAGGCTATAGCTATTTGCAAAATAAAGTAGCCTTGCAGCAATGAAATCTCAGCTCTGCAACACCAGCCATGTGACAGTAACTGATTAAAAAAAGCCAACAAAACACCTCTCCAAGCTTTAGTTTCCTTACCACAATGCCAAGCTGTTTCACTTATCTATTGCTGCATGACAAATTATTCCCAAACATAATGGCTTAAAACAACATGCATTTATTAATTCTCACAGTTTGTGGCCAGGAATCTGGACCTAGCTTATTTGGGTCCTCTGCTTCAGGCTCTCTCACGAGGCTTAGATCAGAGTCAGCCAGAGCGCTGGTGTCCTCTAGACTCGGTTAGGGAAGGGTCTGCTGCCAAGCTCACTTACAGCACTGTTGGCAGAACTCGGTTCCTTGTGGGCTGTTGGCCAGAGGCTGCCCTCCATTCTTTGTAATAGCTGGCTTCATCAAAGTCAAGGAGAGCAAGACTGAAGGCACAATCTTTTTTTTATTTTAAGTTTATACTAATTTTTGTTATCTTTAGGTAGTTATACATGTCAATTACATGTCAATTATACATATATATGTCAATTAGTGAGTACAATGCATGTTGATCCATCTCACCGTTTCCATCATTCTCCCCCATTTCTCCAACCTCCCCATTCCCTCAAGCCACCTGGTTCCATTTTCACATATTGACATTGAATATGATTGTTAGCATTATGCCTACCTTTGGCCCTCAGCTCCACCCATATCTGAGCTCCTCCAGGCCATGGAGTTTCCCCCATACAGCTGGCCACTCCCTCTCTCCACCCAGCCCACCTGAGCACACCCCTACCTCACTTCCTCCCCTCCCCCCCTCCTGCTACCTGGATAGGGATGGGTGCCATGTGCTCCCTCTTTAGGGAAATATGGCTCCTCTAACAAACCTTATAATAATCCTTCTTCTGTGCCTGCTTGAATTCGGGTGGTCCCCTGGGGTGGATGTGAAGCATCCTTTCAATGATGATTATATTTACCCATCATTTCTCTTCTACTATGGCTTCTGCCTCTCTCATCTTTTTTTCGTCCTTAAACGCTCCCCTCTCGGGCACCCCCGACCCCTGCCACGTGTTTCAGCTTCCTGGTATTTTGGTAAACTATAAGCTAGTTGCTGAAGGCACAATCTTACAGGACCACTTCATTGTAATGAGCTCCCCTCACTATTGCCACATTCTTGGGGCAGGGCTAATACAAAATAGAGGAAGGGGTGTGGAGACGACATGGAGTCCATTTGTCTTACTAATTTATAGCTTAGTACCACCAATCATGGTTAGCTATTATTACTATGCTGATTGAGAGATTAGGAAAAACTTTGAGTCAGTGAAGGAATTTAGATCTTGGAATAATTGAAGGTGACCTTGGACAAGTCACCAGTATCTTCATTTCATCCTCATTAAACTGAAAATACCTAGCCCCAGGGGGGAAAATGAGAAAAATGTGTGCAAGCAAGCATACACACACACACACACACACACATATAAAATACACAACTCTATAATCCTAGGAAGCAAACTGCTTGGGACAAATTTTACAAACCACTTTTGTGTTGACTCTGTCGCACAGTCTGATTTCTTTAAGGTCTTTAAGTATCTGCGCCTGTAAACGTGTAGTCAGGGTTGAGTTAGCTCAAATAAATACCCTTGAAGAGAAATCTGTCTTTTGAGAGAGTCCCTTAGGGCATTTCCAAGGTGTTGCTTCTTTCTTTCTTTAAAAATACTTATGTTTCTAAGGATTCCATGGGGGGGTGAGGGGGGGGGTAAGAGGGAAAACAGACTGTGGGTAATTTCAAGTATTTGATAGTAAAACAGTAATAAAACCTCGTTGGGCTCCTGAGGCTTTGCACAGGGGATGTTTATGGTGCCAAGGGGTTCCCCCACACCCGTTCAGACGCTTTCTGGGCTGGGCGGTTTCCAGTGCAGCCCTACTGAGCAGCTCAGATTACCAACTGGCGGTCGCCTGCGAGGGTAGCTTCTGGGGCTGCAGGCATTAGTCCCCCCACCCCATGCCTGGTCCATTTCAGCCTGGTGTGCCCACACTGAGCAAATCCCCACAGTCGGCTCCGCGGTCGTTCCAGGGGAGAGTGTGGACGGCTCGGTCTGATCCAGGGGGACCCGCCCGTCCACGGCGTCCCGCCCGGCCAGAGGGCACAGTCAGGCCCCCAGGGCTGAGCTCCTCCGCAGGGGGTCACCGAGTCCGGTGAAGCAGCCGCCAGGCCCCAGGGATTCTCTCCCCTAGGGCCTGTCCTCAAGGAAGAGGGGCGTCCGTGACCCCAAACCTCCGGGTCCAACCTCGCCATCCCGCCCCGCTGCAGCCTGCAGCTGCACGCGCTGCACCCGGGGTCCCGCCGGCAGGGCGGCCGCCCCCAGTCTCCGCAGGACATTAGGTCCCAGGGGCGGGACTGTCCCGGGGGGAGGGGGGAAGAGAAGACTCAACCAGGTTTTTTTTTTTTTTTACCCAGGCCAAGCCCCCACCGCTGCTAGGAGCATTTAACTAGAACCAGATGCGGTGGCCGCTGGCGAACTTTCTCAGAGCCTCTGATTGGTCTCTGGTCGAGGGCTGCAGCCAATCAGCGCGCAGGGCGGGCCCACCGTCCCGCCCCCCCCCCCCCCGGCTTGGGCACCCGCGGAGACCCAGGTTGGAAGGCTCGGAGGCTTAGAGGGGCTGGCGGGGCCGGGCTGGGAGTGCGCTCTGCAGCGGGACCGCCGCGGGCCGAGCGAGCATGTGGGGGGACCGGAGGGTAGGGCAGCCATCGCTGCTGTGGCCGTCGCTGCTGCTGCTGTTCTCGCTGCTGTCGCGGGGCTGGGCGCTGCACCCCGAAGAGCTCTTCCCCTACGGGGAGTCTCGGGGAGACCAGCTGCTGCAGGAAGGCGACGACGAAAGCTCCGCGGCGGTGAGGCTGGCCGCGCCCCTGCGCTTCTACGACGCCCGGTTCGGCCACCTCTACGTGAGTGCAGCGCCCTTCGCGGGCATCCCTCGGCGCGGGTGCCGCCGCCGCCGCTTCCCCCCCGGGGCTG